AAAAACCAATGAGAGAGCGACGTGTATCAGGGCAAGTCCCCCAATTAGCATCCGCAAAGGCCTTGTCCTGGAGCTCTCTTGATATATTGTAAGATGCGGAGTGCTGCTTGGAGATGTGGAGTTCGCGGAGCAGCCAAGAATTGACTGAGGCGATTAACCGAACAACTGAGATCAAGCCTAGTAATGGTGAGATAAATCAACTTGCCAATCAGCCGTCTATAACTGGTAGGGTCAGTGAGCAATTTACCATCCGAAGCGGATAATTTGAGGTTCGGTTCCATAGGAATAGAAGCCGGTTTACACCCCAAATACCCTGCATCAGAGAGCAATTCTAGTGCATATTTCTGTTGGCAGATAGATATTTCAGTGTTGGAACGAGCAACTTCAAAACCCAAAAAATATCATAGAGCACCCAAATCTTTCATCTTAAATCGTTTGCTCAATGTTAACTTAAGAGCATCCACTGATTATTGATCATTGCTAGCAATGATAATATCATCAACATATACCAAGAATGCCAAAAAGGAATGCCCACAAGCTTTGATGAATAAAGAATGGTCACAAGCGGATTGAGTAAAACCTTTCAAAATCAAAACAGTAGAAAACCTATGAAACCATTGGCGAGATGCTTGTTGCAGCCCATATAAAGACTTATGAAGCCTACAAACAGCATTGGAAGGTAAGGTCTCCCCCTTGTGACGAGCGTAACTAGGAGGCAAAGCCGTATAGATCTCTTCGGTAAGGTCACCATGAAGAAATGCATTAGTGACATCAAGTTGGGTAAGAGACCAACCCGAAACAATAGCTAACGAAAGTAAAACTTTAACAGTAACAATTTTGGCAACAGGGGAAAAGGTGTTAAGGAAGTCAATACCTTCTTGTTGCATAAACCCTTTGGCCACAAGACGGGCTTTATACCGATCCACAGTACGATCTGCATGAAATTTAGTTTTGTATACCCATTTACATCCCACGGAATGCTTACCAGGAGGTAGCGAGACAATAGACCAGGTCCCATTGTCTTCCAAAGCCTGTAGCTCCATATTCATGGCATCACGCCATAGCGGATTCTCAATGGCTTAGGAAAATGACTTAGGTTCCTTGTGTGAGGAAATAGTCAAGATAAAGTGACGGAATGGTGAAGAAAGCTTGTGATAGCTAAGAAAGGAAGAGATAGGATATGGAGTTGAGCTGGAGGAGGAGACTTCCGAAGCAGGCGAATCATGAGTGGCGAGATAACAATGGTAATCTCACAAATAAAAGGGTGGTTTATAATGCAACGAGGACGGGATGAAGTGATAGAATGATGAGGGGCAAGAGTTAATATAGGGCTGGAGGGAGCAGAAGTAGGCACGAGTGAAGCACTGGGATACTCGGATGGAGTAGAGATAGGAGTGGGAAGGACACGATGACTAAAGAAGTCATGAATGACAGATTGTGGTTGAGAGTTGACGAAAGGAGAGATGGTTTCATGGAACTGCACATTCCGGGATATGTAGATTTTATTGTTTTCCAAATCAAGAAGTTTGTATCTGAAGGGATAGCCAAGGAACACAGAGCTTTGGGCCCGAGTAGTGAATTTAGTGCGATGACAAGGAAGAGTTGAACCATAACAAAGACAACCGAATGTACGTAAATGAGCATAAGAAGGCCTTTTGTGATTTAAAAGTTCAAAAGGTGTCTTGTTGGACAACAAGGGTGAGGGAGTGCGATTAATTAAATAGACCGCTATCATAACACAATCACCCCAATAACAAAGTGGGACACAAGACTGAAAAAGAAGGGTGCATGCCACATTAAGGATATGTTGATGTTTGCGTCCAACAACAAAATTTTGTTCCGGTGTGTCAACACAAGAATGATAAGGAAGGATGCCTTTAGAGCGGAAAAAATCAGTGAAAGCTAACTCAGGGGCATTATATGAACAGACAAATTTTATAGGAGTGCCATATTTAGTTTGAATAAGAGTGTAAAAATTCAGAAAAATGGTAAGCACATCTGAGTTTGCATGTAAAATATAAACCCAAGTAGCTCTAGTGCAATCATAAACAATAGTGAGGAAATACTGATGCCCAGAGGTAGTTGCAATATGTATCAAATCAAATGGCTTATCGGACATATGGTTATGCGAAATAAACGAAAGACATTTTTATTTAACCATGTGACAGATGCGAGAATGAGATGAAAAATTTGAAAGAGAACCAGGAATTTGTAATTCATTATGAAGCATTTGAAGTTTTACAGGAGATGGATGTCCTAGGCGAAAATGCCATACATCATGCTTTGACAATACAGAACAAGAAAACATGGAATTACAAATTAAAGCTCCTAGTTCTAAAAAGTAAGGATTGTTGTGTCTGTTATCCCTTCCAATCGGCCCCGAGTAAGGTCCTGAATGATACAAGAAGCATAAGAAAAATTAACACGACAAGATTGGCTGAGGGTAAGAGCACTCACGTTGAGAAGATTAAAAGAGAACAGGGGACCAAATAAGACGTTGTGCAGAATTAAAGAATCAGATAAAGGAATAGTACCAAGTCTAGTAATATCAATAGTCTGACCATTAGGAAGGGTGATCGTGGTGTGGTGAATTATTTTTGAGTGAGAAAAAAGAGAAAGAAAGCAACATACATGGTGTGTGGCACCAGTATCAAAAACCTGAGTTTTTGGGCGAAACAGTTGGATGCGAAAGAGAAAGAACAGTGGAGAGATTACCATTGACATGGGACACATAAGGATCCATAGCCGATTGAGATCCAGATGTAGAGGCACCACAAAGCTAAAGTTACGAGCTGAGGTAGGCAATGAGTTGCTGAACCTGATCAGTGGAGAGCTAGTTAGATGGAGGAGAGAAAGTTGTTGTTGTAGCAGCGGTAGAAACAGAGGTAGTGAGGTGAGAAGTCTCAGATGTGGATTGAATTGAGATCTGGTGTGCTTGGGCCTTGGGCTTGGGCTTGTAACCATGTGGGAAACCATGAAGTTTGTAGCACCGATCCACAGAATGGCCCGTTAGTCCACAATGAGAACATATCAGACGGTCACGTCTGGGCCGAGAATGAGAAGATGAAACCGCCGCAACAGGAACATTTGGAGTCAGAAGAAGGGGTGGTTATGATAAAGGGACGCTGAAGGCCAAAGAATCCCTTGGAGCAGTGGGAATGGAGCCAATGGTGCGTTGTCGTTCCTCCTGAATGACCAGATTGAACACCTTTGCAACAGAGGGCAAAGGATCCAGCATTAAGATCTGGCCTCTTGTCCCAGAAAGTCATTGAGACCCATGAGAAATTGCATCACATGCTCCTGTTCTTGATAATCCAACCATGCCTTCATACCTCCACATTGACAAACGGGAACGGGTTGAAAATTCTTAATCATCCCAAAGAATTTTCAATCGAGTGAAATAAGTGTTGAGATCCAGAGAGCCCTGTGATAGACCATGAAGCTGTTGTTTGATCTGAAAAATGCGTGGAGCATTACTCTGACGAAATCGTTCATGGAGATCGGCCAAAACCACGTGAGCGCTATCAAGGTAAAGGAGACTCAACAATCTCCTTGGAGACAACATTAAGCAACCAAGAGGTCACCATACTGTTGCACCGAGACCAAATACCAGCGGTGGGATCAACAGAGGCGAGCTGCTGAAGAGAACCATCAACAAATTTGAGCTTATTTTTGGCATTGAGTGCCATAAGCATGGCACGACTCCAGGTATTGTAGTTCGGACTAGTGAGTATATGAGAGACGAGAGTTAATCTTGGGTGATCGCCACTGTGAAGAAAAAAATGGCTATTGATGTTATCCATGGCGGCTGGATCTAGAATGGATTGGGTAGTAGGAGAAGAAGTAGGGGTGAGAGGCTGGAACCGATTTGTGTTATTATTGTTATTCTAGCCACCACGAGCCGTAGGTCAGAAGGAAGGAGAAGAAATGGGTCAGAAGAGAGAAGAAGAAAGAGCAGAGGATTAAAGCTCTGATACCATATTAGAGAAGAATGAAAGAGAAATGAAGAAGAATAAGAAACTGTCTTTCATTACTCAAGAAGAGGTACAACCGAAAAAACATATATAGAGAGGCATTGGATTTGGTTCACACAATCCTTACCTCACAAGACAACTGGCATAACAGAAAAAAAGAATATTCAAAATACATAAAATATGACAATATGCTAAAATTCTAATATTACCACAACTTACTTTGTCAATCATCTATACGGCCAGCATTGCAACAAAGGATCTAGATTAATGAAGAAAAGAAAATAACAGAACAGAAAAAAACTGATCTTTTTGGGAGGTGGAGTAGGCGGCAACGACAGGAGATGTTGGGGAAAAGGTGAAGGAAGTTATAGACGAGACAAAGTTTAGGTCAGTTGGTTTCATTGATTTAAAACAATTCGGTTTTTTGTTACAGTATTTACTTTCATAAAAATTCAAATTCAACTCTTTTTTTGTTGTTGCTATAATTTGGGTTTTGGGTTTTTGGATAGAAAAAATTTAAAGGGTTTTTTTTTTTTTTTTTTTTTTGTTAAATAAATCCAACAAAAATCATTAAAAGAATTTAAAGGGTTTTTTTTTTTTTTTTTTTTGTTAAATAAATCCAACAAAAATCATTAAAATCTACCAAAATACTCTCAGTTGTGGTCCACGACTCCACATGTTAAGTGGGAGATTTCTTCCTATTCTTTTAGACCCCAAGGACAGAAAGGTGTTAATTGATTAAAGCGAAACATTGAGGATCGAAGTGAGACATTTTTAACTTTGAGGATCAAAGTGTGGGACAACGTACGTCTTAAGTTCAAGGGCTATTCATGGAATTAATCGAAGACTCAAAAAATAAGGTCCACCAAAAACATGCATGATGCATGCATTAACCAAGTAGGTAAGGAAAAAGTCAAAGGCAGAATATATAGTAGAGCTAGGCAAAGTACAAAGCAAAAAGTTTCAATAAGCTTAAGAAAAAAAAACTATAAAGCAAAGATGCAAAGAAGAAGGAAGACCAATTACCAGGGTCTCTAACAGTGGTATTAACGGCATAGCCCTTCCCAAGCAAAAGCTTCACAAGCAAAGAGGCGACAAAACCGCTACCGCCGACCACGCAGGCCCTCTTCTTGACGATGGTCTGAGTGGCCATGGCTATTGGATTCTTATTTTCTTTTGTATGATTTTTGTGAAGAGTATGACTAATTACTAATATTACTGTTATCCAAATTAAAGACTAGCTACAAAGAAACAAGTATAATGTTTGTGGGTACCCTTAAATAGACGTTCGCATTTAATTTTTTTTTTTCTTTTCTTCACCTAAATTTTGGGAAAAATAAGGTGAGCACGTGAAGTTGAATTCGCCACCAACGAATCAAACCTTGGTGTTCCCATTATGAACTTACTCGTTATAAATTCTTCTTGCTGAACATATAAACCGAATTTCCAAACTGAATTCTCAAGGTGGAAAGAAAATTTCTCGACTACTCTTGCAAATTCTCATAAATACCTCCCAAGAAACAAAAGAGCCTATTGGACTGAAAATCAACTATCCGCCAGCAAATTAAAATTTAGAGGTAATTAAAGCCAGAGAAGAGAGCTATTCTTAGGATTCCGGTTAAAAACTATTAACTAACACGTACGTTTCCCTTCATACTTCTTTATTTATTAACTCAATCATATATGAAGAGTTTATGCTACGATGTGAACAAAAATACTATACTAATAATGCATGATTTTAAATCTGGCATATTTTTAATAAATTCTACTAAATCATCATATTTTTGTAAATCTAATATGACTCATGTTCTGTTGGGATTACGTTATATTAAAATAATTTATGTATGACAATTTAATTACTATGTGCAAATATAATTACTCTTAATAAAATGCGTAGAGGCTTAACGTCAAATATGTAATTTAATTGGATAAACAATGAAACCTATTAAATTGTGAGAGTTATACAAAGGGGCATAATATATGACTATATAGTGTGTCATGCGTTACACTATATATATGTATAGAAAAACATATTTATGTCTTCTCATAAATTGTCTATATTATTTAGAGTGCAATTTTGTGTTTTTAATGGAGTTACTATGAAATTAATACTTGATTCATTATATCAAAATGGTGATATGTTTTCTCATAAATTGTCTATATTATTTAGAGTGCAATTTTGTGTTTATAATGGAGTTACTATGAAATTAATACTTGATTCATTATATCAAAATGGTGTTACTGGATTGAATTCATGAATATTGAGAATCAAATAATAAAAGCCCATAAAATCCCTACAGTAACTTAATCTTGTGATTATACAAATAAGTAGAGAATAATAAATTGAACTTTGTATTTTATGGAAATAAATTAGATAATTAACGTGTTGTGATATTGAATATGAAAGATCCAAAATTGAAAAAGGAAAACCTTTAGATTTTAATTTTGATTAATTTATTTTAATTGATTTCTTAAATTTGTGAAGAAAAAAATTATTGAAAAAAGGAAAGTAGCTCGTTTTTTATTTCTTTTTACAGAAATAGTAGAGAATATCATCCCATGCTATTGATAAAAATAATAATAAAAAATTTGTTTCTTTTTTATATAAAAAGACTAATATATATATTCTGTTTAATATAGAAAATAGAGATGGTGCATACGGAAAGTTCTCTCTTTTGTTTTTCATTCTCTTAACGAATATCCACACACTGGTATCTATGGCCAAAAAAAAATAAATAAATAAAATAAAATAAACATGATAAAAATGTAATATAAGAAATCTAAAGTTTATAATTTCAATTTTCAAGTATGTACCCTTTAGATATTGTAAATCACCACAAGGCAGGAGTTGTTCGACACTGCTATTCCGACCCAATTTCCAAGAATCGAATCCAGAAGAAGAACAACTATAACCTTGATCGAATTTTCTCACAGGACCATGGATCTTCCCAGCTATAACTCTGCACACAAACAAAGCCTTCCTCTTAAAGTGATAATGACCTTCTTCACCAACATGTTTCAAAGCTCTTTCACTAGTTGAGGCAGCAGAGATCCCAAACCGCCCAACAAAATCCTTCCTTGCGGAGAACCTGTTTCTCAGAATCTGACAAGCACCACAAGTGTTCGACTTGCATGGACTGGAAGAGTCGTTCGTGCCAAGAGAACATGAAATGGTTGTGGCATAAAATCTTAAGAGTTCATTCCCGTCTGCTGCCTTTGTTTTTCACCATTTCTCTCTAGTCTTCGAACTGATAAAAGTATGTTTTCCGTGTTGTGGACTTTTAAAATTCTGTCAATCTTAGTGCTTTTGTTGATGTTGGACTCTGGCTCGCTTAGGCAAATTATCTCCACAATCTTCCTAGATGCGTGTCCTTCGGCTAGTTCACTGACTGCATATGACGACATGACATAAGTTGAAATTATTAGAGCAACTTAGCTTTTTTTTTTTTTTTTTTTGTTTAAAGTTGATTTTTTGATCAGTAAGTTTTTGGTAATTTTATAATTTTACTTTACTCCTTACCTTTAGGAGATTAGGCAACTTACTTGATTTTGAAATTATTCTATCATGTGTATATGTATATATGTCGGTTGTATGAATGGAAATGTTATACAATTATTTTATAAATATATATATACATATATATTTTAATTTGTGGTATCATGACATTTACGATCCTAACCCTCAACATTAGGCCAAGCCTCCAAAATTTTAAAATTTTTTTATAAAAGTAATTTTACTTTTGTTGAGGTTAAATTTCGTATCTTATTTCTCACCATACATGTGTCACTGCATTTCTTAGAGAATGAGGATTTATTAAAAAATCAGCCTATGGAATTAGTTAGGAGCTACCGACAGCTCGCCGGCCCGACAGGTCGTCAGACCAGATTCTAGTGAACAACAAGCTATTTGTCGAGTCCGTGACTTTCCATATCAAGGAATGACCTAGAAGAATGACTCCAGCACATCAAAATCGAGCCGTGAGCTTCAGACAGCTCGCAGGTCGCGACCTGATGGACCGACAACTCATCTGATGAGTTGTCGAATTGTCTGGGTGACTTGGCGCCCAAGTTACTAGATAAGGATCAGATTATGCACGAAATTATCTCTCCAAATCACAGAGAATCTTATTTGAACAAGAATATCTCCTCTAAAAAAGGGATTATCTCAATCCTAATTTGAATATTCAAATTATGGGCTTATCTACAAGATATCTCCTATCAAAATTCAAACATAAGATCTTATCCTACAGAGATTCAGTCACCAAACCTATAAATAAGGGCTTAATTCACGCCCAAGAGGAGAATCTCCACGCCTAGAGAATTACGTACACAAGCCCTAGCTTCTACAGGTGTTCTACACGTTTTCCAAGGCATTCATAGTGAGTTGTACGAAGTTTAGGCTTGGGTTTCACAGTTCTAGGCTTATTTTCTTTTATTTTCTCTACTATTCACCTGAATTCCCCTCTTCTCTCTTCCCGCTTTTCTCTCAACTGCATTGTAATTTACATCAATTGTAGTGGAAAAACAACGAAGACCCTATAGTGGACTTTTCTTAGATTATCAGAGAAATCACTACAAATTTTTTTTTGTCTATCTCTTATTTACTTTTTTTTGCGTTTATTCTCTGCCATACGATACCAACTCTCTAATTAGTCCAAATTCGGACATTGGCCTGGTACAAATTCGACGGTAAATTCTACCCTCTACAACTTTATTACTTACCTTTAGGGGATTAGGCAAGTTACTTGATTTTGAATTCTTGTATTATATATATATATATTTATTGTATTATTTATTATCAACCCTAGGCCAGACCTCTGAAATTTTACAAATTCATTGAATATATACGAGTTTTTTTTTTATAACAAAGAATTATTACAAGGCTTTACGTTTGTAGAAATCGTTCTAGGAACATTAGATCAACAAGTTCACCAACCTTTGTCTACTAATTAACGATTAATGAGCCTAAAACAATCATGTTGAAAGTTTCTTAACTTAATATGGCCTTGGCATTAATTTTTCATTAATGAAAATACTAGTTTAACTCATGGAAATTAATTAAGTACTATTGAAGTCATTTAATGGTGAACTATTTGACTTAAAGTGCATCTAATTTGGGAGTTTTAAATATGTATAGAACCCTAACGTAAAGTTCATATCGAATTCCTTTTGCGACCTTTCTCTAAAGCCTCTTAAGTGAGGCATTAACTCAAGTGAATTAAGAAGAGAAGTTATGAGTCTTTTGATGAGAAGACTCAAACTAACGCATTATCTCCCTATAAAAAGATCAAGGTCCCAACTCACATTCTCATCTTTTGAATTAAGTCTTGTTATACACCACAAATAGTTACTCATCAACTATAATGAGAATAGTGAGTTGAATACTCTTGGTCATCCCACCTAGTATAAAGACTTTGTAACATTTGCTTCCTCAATATGGATCAAGGTATGATATAAAATATATTATTATATTGTTTTGTTTCATGCATTCAAAATTTTTATCTTCAAATTATGTTTTATTATTATTGTTATAAAAATTTCTAACAATTGGTATCAGTGGGGTTATTAATTTTGATGCATGGGCATTTTTGTATTTTATGAGTTGTAAATGAACGTTTTGGCCAAATCAAAGGTGATTCTAATTCTTCTCCTTATTGCTAATTCTTTTAACTTGTGTATATTATGATAACGAGAATTTTTATATGCTTATACACATGAGTATATTTTATATGCAATTATTCATGATAAACTCATATGTATCAAACGTTATCATTATACGTATATAGATAATAAGATATCATGGGAATTGAATTAATTCATGTGTAGTATAACTGCTTATTAAATTTGTAATATCTTTTTGTTTATTGATTAATGATAACTCGATGAAATAAAGTTATTTAGCATGCTTTTTGGTTTAATAGTTGTAGATTTCTCAAGGTAAAATGTCTTAGTGTTAATATTTTACATAACATTACTTAGTTTTTATTTAGTTGGTAAAAGGTTGATACTTGTGGAACAATCTCGTCCAATCATGAATTTAGTCCTCAAATTCAATAAAAATATGTTGACTCTGGGTTGACCGTGCAGGAAGTCCAAGGGCAGCTTTGGTGGAAGCACGTTGAAAAAAAGCACAGCAAAGGAATGGAAAGCAGG